GTTTTTTCTCCATTTATCATTATTTATTGGTCCAGTGGTGAGGACTTTTGTTTTCTTTACACTGAGGTGCAGTCCATACGTAGACAGTATCTTTGATCTTGATCAAAGCCCTTTTCACTTCCAGCAAGCAAAGTTGTATCATCTATCTATTTGTGGGCTATTAATGAGTCTTCCTCCAATCCTGATGCCATTCTTCTTCCAATCCTGATGTCATTCCAGTTAATTGGATTGTTTTCTCAGCATGCAGATTGAATTAAATATAGTGAAAGGATACAATCCTAGGGCACATATTCCTGATTTGTATCTCCTTGCTCTATTAGATGTCTGGTTGTTGTTGTTGTTGTTAAGTGCCTTCGAGTCGGTTCCAACCCATAGCGACCCTATACAGGGTTTCCGAGGCTGTAAATCCTTACAGGAGCAGAATGCCTCATCTTTTTCCCACGGAACAGCTGGTAGTTTCGAACCGCTCACCTTGCGGTTCGCAGTCTGGTATAGCCCTTTATTAAACTTCTTTGATGCTGCTTCTGGAAAATTCAATTTCAGTTCTGTATTTTGTAGCAGGGGCCTTTAGATAAGTGTAGAGAAAACCAAGATCCATCTGTTAATGATAGAACAGTATATATCTGATTAATTTATTATATAAATCGACATATCAATACGGAGAAGGATAGATTCATCTACTTAGGTATGATACTATGAATATAAAGGACAGTGATAACCCTCAGGACCTTTTGAATTTTTGCTATAACTGCCAGCAATTGACAAAGTTAGCTGTATGAACAAAATTAATTTGTTGGCATTTTCTGTATTAGTCTTTTATCTGAACAGTAGTATTTTCTATACAATGTGTTATATTTTGGGCTGCTAACTGCAAGCAAAATCAGCAGTTTGAAGCTACCAGTTACTTTGTGGGAAAAATATGATGCTTTTTGCTCCTGTAAAGATTCGCAGCTTTGGAAATAATATTCAGGGTTGCCATGAGTCAGAATAGACTCAACAGCACACAGCAGCATACAATTTTATAAGTATAATAATTAAACATTTATGTTAATAATGCTTTATCAGATTTAAAGACATACAGTTTCTATTTTCATTTGGCCCATTTTTTTTCATACTGTACAATATATTACAGGGCAACTCTCATAATTGTACATACCTGGACTCCTGCCTGGTGTAACCCTACTCCTGTAGTATCAGCATTTGATTGTGAACCACAAGGTTGGTAGTTCAACCCCACCAAGCTGCTTCTTGGAAACCCTATGTAGGATTTCTATGAGTTGGAACTGACTCAACTGCACTTAACAACAAATTAAAAACAAGAGCCTGGTGTGGAACTGTAGGATAAGCACTGAACTGCTAGCCACAAGGTCGGTGGTTCTAACTCATCAGACAATCCTTGGAAACCCTATACAGGGTCCCTGTGAGTTTGAACCAACTCAATAGTACTTAACAAACACAACAACATCCCATCTTTAACACCTTTATTGGAGTTCTGGTGTGGCGCTGTAGAATAAAACTGGAGAGCTAACCACAAAGTCCACATGGTTGGCAGTTCAAACCTACTGGCTACTCCTTGGAAACCCTATTTAACAGCACTTAACAAAGATTAAAAACAAAGTATACTTTCTCTTATGCACTGACAGAAAAAAAATATTTAATTTGACCTAGTAGCCTACCTGGGAAACTCTAGCGCTAGTTTAGATATATATACTACTTTGTTTTATTATTCAATCAATGCTTGGAGTTTTGATTAGGAAAATCTAATATTTCAAATATTTCATTACATAAAGATTTCTAAAGATAAATGGTTAAACATTAGCTATAAAATTGGCATTTAAATTATGCACAGAATATTTAGCTTTTGTTTTCTTTTTCTTAAACAAATTTTTGTCAAAAATTACACAAGAAATCAATCAGTGTAAAACTACAAATATAGGCATACCTTAGCGATATTGTGCCTTCAGTTCCAGACCACTTCAGTAAAGTGAATATCATAAAAAAGCAAATGTAACTAAATTTTTTGTTTTCTAGTGCATATACATGTTTACACTATAATGTAATCTATTCAATGTCCGATAGTAATATGAAAATGTTTGAAATACTCTAACAATTATAAAAATGTGATACAGAGACATGAAGTGAGCACATGATTTGGAAAAATGGTTCCCATAGAACTGATACATTTGGCTCATGGTGTTGGAGGAGAATATTAAAAGTGCCATGGATTGCTAGAAGAATAAACAAATCTGTGTTGGAAGAAGCACAATCAGAATGTTCCTTAGAAGCCAGGATGGACAGACTTCATCTCATACTTTGAGATATTATCATATTATCAGGAGAGCTCAGTCCCTGGAGAAGGCTATCATGCTAGGTAAAGTGGATGGTTAATGAAAAAGAGGAAGATCCTCAACTAGATGGCCTGGCATAGCAGCAACAGCAATGGGCTCAAGTTTAGCAATGTTTGTGAAGATGGTGCAGGATTGGGCAGGGTTTCATTCTGTTGTGCTATGAGTTGGAACAGACTTGATGGCACCTAACACCACCACCACAATGAGCAGGGTTCCCACAAATCTTCAGTTTGTAAAAAAAAATGCAATAGTTGTGGAGTGCAATAAAGCAACGCACAGTAATACAAGGTATACTAGCAGTAATAGACCTTCAGAAGATTGACTCTTGCTGAAATAACGGAGTGCTATATATTCTCTATATCTTCCAAACAAGAAAGTTTTTTTGTTTTGTTTTGTTTTAGGTACATGGTGCCAAAACATTTCTGCTGTTTTTGTTATTTTTCCCCATTAACTTTACAAAAAAATTTTTTTAAGTTTGTTTTTTAACTCTTCTTAAATATTAGATTTGTTGCAAAATATCATTTTAGCAAGCGATGAATCTTCTAAGAGCAAGTGTAGAAAGAGAAAAAGTTTTAAAAACTCATTATTTTAGAGTTAGTTGGGCCAAGATAAGGAGTTACTATATAAGCTAAATATCTTACTTTGCAAGAACTGAAAACACCTTTATCTCAACCCCAATCTTATAAAACAGAAATTTTAGTTTATAGTTTACAAGATTGCCACATAAGATTCACCCTAGAAATCAAGGAAAGGAGTTCCACGGTTTTAACAGCTTTTCAATGTGGGTTTGAATCATAAGGTCAGAGGTTCAAATCTAATAGCTACTCCTTGGAAATCCTATACAGGGTCTGTATGAGTCAGAAGCGACAGGCACATAACAACAGCTTACACAGACACTCCTCAGCAAAACTATTCAATTGGCTCCAGCGAGTTTTCACCTGGGAAGCCCTGGGGATTTTGCAGTCTCTCAACTGAGTCCAAGGTAAAATGCAGAGTTTTCTTGCTTCAACCAATTTAACTTTTTTTTTCTTGCAGGAAAATATTTTCTGTGAATTTCCTCAGATCTTTAGAGCTTCGGGAATTTGGGTTATGGCTAGACTGTAGATGAAATATATATGAGCCATTTTTAAATACCAGAGGACTGGTTCTGAGCAGAATCTTTATGTTGCTCCCCCCTCTTTGTTGTTGTTGTTAAGTGCCATCGAGTCGGTTCCGGCCCATAGCGACCCTGTACAGGGTTTCCGATGGTGTACATCTTTACGGGAGTAGAAAGCCTCATCTTTCTCCCACGGAGCAGCTGGTAGTTTCGAACCGCTGACCTTAAGGTTTGCAGCCCGATTCGTAACCACCACGCTACCAGAGCAGCCCCCTCTAGGTTATAACTAAATCATTTATTCATATTATAATTTTATATTGATTGTTGCAGTTCTAACGTAGAGTTAAGATGCTGATTTGAGTGTCTCCAAGACCATTCGTTCTGTTTTGGTGCTTTTGGCAGGAGTGGAAGGCTGTTGCAGTCTTTGGTTAAGTGTTCCCGTGTTAACTGAGGCAAAGCCAGTGGTTGGAATCTACCAGCCTCCCTGCAGAAGACCTAGCAATTAAACATTCCAAGCCTTCCTGATTGATACGGGTGTGCTAACTAAACAAGGAGTCAATGACACACTTGGTTTAATCAAAAGGAAACTTGAAATAAGGCCCCATGCATACTGCATGTGCCTGCTCTATCTCCTGAATAAAGTCCCAGGTACCTCATGTATTTCTCATTTGTTTCATCCTTCTATATTTAATAAACAATATTTTGCAATTCTCGACTATTCCATGTTTTTTTGACTCTTAGCCTCCCTGGGGTTTCTAAAAAGCATCCGGTGTGTTTGAACCGCCGCCGACCTTGCATTTAGCAGTCCAGTACTTTTTATCTAAACAGAGCCACATCATAACTACATTCCTTTAGCTCGCCCACCAACACAAGCAATTTACATATCACCTGCTTGTAATTTAACCTGCTCTTAAAATGAGGGCATTCAGTCCGGTTAAGTGTCCTCGAGTCAATTCCGACCCATAGCAACCCGGCAGAGGGTTTCCAAAGACCAGCTGGTGAGTTTGAACCGCCCACTTTGAAGCCTGGCGCATTACCCACAGTGCCACACCAGGACTCCAGCAACCAGATAGTGAACGCCAAATAATTTTAATTTCAGGTGTGACACTTTGGGATAATGCTCTGAAATGCAAAGTCAAACTCTAGGTTGGTGGCTCAGTCACTCCTCGGAAACCCGTTTCGCTACCGGCCAGCACAGACTCGACAGCATTTAACAGCTTAGTTTTAATTCAATTAGATCCTAGGAACTGCATGTTAAGTTTAGCAGTTCCACCTTCTGCTTCACAAAACGAATTCATGGCAACAAAGGGAAAGGCTCACAAACCCAAGTCAATCCCAGTCACAGTGACCTTATAATAGTGCAGGGAAGGGTTTCCAAGGGCACAAGTCAGAGATGCTTTTCAATTACTGCCCTTATGAATGAGTTCAGCGCTATCCTTACTGTGCCACAGCATCAACCCATAGAAGTGCCAGATCAGCACCACAGCTCTTCAAAGAAAAAGGAGGGGCCCTAAAAAGGGCCGTTGATTTGAGATTAGTGAAAACACTCTCAACACTTAGCCGCCGAATCCATAGAGGGTGCGCCCCTGGCGTTTCAGCGCATAAACCACGTCCATTGCAGTAACTGTCTTTCGCTTGGCGTGCTCGGTGTAGGTGACGGCGTCCCGAATCACGTTCTCTAGGAAGACCTTCAGCACGCCGCGAGTCTCCTCATAGATGAGGCCCGAGATGCGCTTCACTCCTCCACGGCGAGCCAGGCGCCTAATAGCGGGTTTGGTGATACCCTGGATGTTATCGCGAAGCACTTTACGGTGACGCTTAGCGCCTCCTTTACCAAGACCTTTTCCACCTTTACCACGGCCAGACATCGTAAATGATACTAGACTTCAGTGTCTTGTCGCCATCGGTCTGCAACAGTCTTTTATATATCCATTGGCGGACCGAACTGAGAACCTTAAAGGCGGGAAATCCTGCCCCGGTGGGGGAGGGATAGCTGCGGGGGCGGAGAAAAGGCTTTGCGTTCTTTCGGCAGAGTTATGTAACATGGTAACTACTTTATTTTGCTACTGTGGTTTTGTGTTTCAGGTTTTAAAAAAAATTGTTTTTGAATGCAAAAGCAAAACCTAAGTGGAAAATTAAAAACGGTTCAACCAACAAAGAATTAACGCTTTACCTCACCACACATGCGGAGTCCTGGTGTGGTGCTGTGGGTTAATGTGCTGGACTGCAATGGCGGTTTGTACGGTAAGGTAAGGGCGGCGGTTCAAACTCACCAGCCGCTCCTTGGAAACCCTATACACGGTCGCTATGGGTCGGAACCGACTCAACGGTACTTAACAATCAGTTGGAAATAATCAATTCGACAGCACTTAACAGCAACGACATCTAACAAGTTTTCCAAAAAAGCGATTTTCAATATTTCCTTATGCATTCATTTGAAGTCTGCTTAGTACAATTTTAACTAATTCCCAAAGCAAGTCATTTTTTATTAAATCCCGTCGAATCAGTTCCTACTCATAGCGACCCTATGTAGGGTTTCCGAGGAGAGGCTAGTGAGTTTGAACTGCTAACCTTGAGGTTCAAACCACCGCATCTTGAAGTTCTAGCCAAACTTGCAGTCCAGTGTTTAACCTACAGCGCCACATCAGAACTCCAGCAAGTCATTAGGAGTTATTTTTATATTTCTAAATTCATCGTGTCTGCTCCCATAAAGATGTAAAGCCTCGGAAACCTATATAGGTTCAGTATGAGTCAAAACAGACTCAACAGCACCTAACAATGAAGTCAACTTCTTCACAGTTACTGAAAGGTGTATTTTATTGCATCGATGTTATAAAATAGCAAAATTATAGAGATTTCACAATTTGGTACTGCAGGTCTGTCCTCATTTTTCTTTGCAAAACTTCATAGGTTAGTTTCATCAAGATTTTTTTTCTGGGGAAACTTAGAATCATTTTGTGAAGTTTGAAAACAATTTCCTTTGTGATTTTAATCATAATGATTTGACTAAAGTGCGTGGTTCTCATACAATATTTAGTATAGCTTTATTTACTTGTTTATCTGGAGCCTTGGTGTGGCGCTGTGGGCAAATGCTGCAAAGTCGTTGGAACTGCAAGGTCCATGGTTCAAACTCCCCAGCTGCTCCTTGGAAACTTTACACAGGGTTGCTGTGGGTCAGAATCGACTTGATGGCATGTAACAGCACTTGATTATTTTGCTACAAAATTCGTATTTTTTTCATGTTATGGATATATATTTTTTTAATTCAGATTGAGAAGGACCACTATAGTCTCACAACCCAAAGAAAATGACATTTAACAATATTGGAAAATCATTAGAATTAATTGTATTTGCATTAGAAACTTTTTTTTAAATCAAGGCAAAGACCCAGCGACATATTGACTTGTGCCTTTGGCGCTGCTTGAGGGGGAAGTCACTGAGGGGTTTCTATTAAGCATTTCATTTTCCATCACCAACTGCAAGAGAACATTTAGTAAGTTAAACTAATACTTTCATATTTTAGAGCCTCCATGGCACAAGATCTTGGTGTGGTGCTGTAGGATAAGCACAAGACTGCTAACTGTACTAACCACAAAGGTTCAAACCTACCAGCTGCTCTTGGAAACCCTATACAGGGTTGCTATGAGTCACAAACAACAGCACATAAAAACATAGCACAAGGAAGACTGTATAATATTGATCTGCTGAGTCTAGAAAGAGAAGAAACTGAAAAACTGACTTTGAGCACACCAGAGACTTATTTTCATTAGTGAAAGCAAGGAAGGTGAAGTTGTAATTCTCATATAGCAGTATGTGTTAAATAAAAGACTAATAAGCTTGACTTGTATTTTTGAGCTTTTAGTATGATACAGTTATCTAGAAGATGGGCATCCCACGTTTGGACAGCGGCACGATTTCACCGCTTGCCATAGGTGCTGATTTTCCTAAGTACAATTCTGTGTGACGTTCTAACATTAATGACCATTTAAAAACTCCTGTAACTATTTTACTGTACCCTTTTTGCTTCAATGGTTTGCTTTTTAGAGATTAGTTAAAAGATTAAATTTTGGAGTTAGAAAAACCTGTTTTCAGATTAAATCTTCTCTACTGACGTCAGCTGATTTGCTTATGCTTTCTACATGTGTGCTTGTCATCTATAAGTGGGATTGGGATAGTAACAAATCATTACCTATGGGGTTACTCTAAGAATTAGTGCAGATAATTTAAGCAAAATTCTTGGTACAGAGCCTACTTCTTATCAAGTTTTTACTACAATTTACTTTTAGTATGTGTTTTCACTTATAATTAACTGAGTCAACATCTATTTTAAACATGTTTATAGATTTTTATTGCAATTTACTTTTAGTTTAAAAGTTTTAATGTTTATTGGCCTGAAACAAAAAAAAAAAACAAACATCTATTATCTTGTTCTTCTGTGTAAATTTCAAATGCATGTATGCAAGTGTTTATCAGGTATTGTATGTTTTAAAATACGTTGTAATTAGCATTTTTTACAGCTAAATAGGAGTTCTGAGCAAAAGCTTGGACTGAGAGGTTCAAAGAAACCTAGAGAGAGGTACCTTGAATAGACTTGATGACAACTAAGAACATTAATAAAGCTAGGAATATAATATCTAAATATATGTGGAGAAGGATCACATTAGTTGGCTCATTATTGTTCCTTGTTTGCAAAATCCCACTGAAACACTATCAGCATACTAGTAAAGTTCGTATTTTCATATATATCGTTGCAATAGTAAGCATAGTTTAAAGCCTGAAAAAGGAAAAAGCTATAGACGCACAAAAAGCAACCATATCTAACTCGATGGCACTTAACCATCCACATAACCACTCCACACCTTGTATAAAACTGTAGGATAAACCTGGACCCAAGGGTCGGTTGGAATCTGGCATTACAGCACTTAACTCAGCATAACCACTCCAACACGTGCCTCAGCAGTCACACTAGCTACAGAGGGCTTTCAATTCATCATCAGGTAATGTCTACGTTTCCTCAGGAAGACATTTTCTAAAAAGCTCTTACCGAATTTAGTTATTTGTATTATATTTCTAATCCATTAAAATAAACTTATATGCAGTCCCTATGTTGAAATCTCTACAATCACACGCAAATAATTTTCCTTCGAATGAAACAGAGTAGTTAAAACATTCATATTCCTATAATTACTTGGTTTTCTCTTCTAGTGCTTCCTCCTACAGCATCTCATCTGTCCTTTTACTTTCATCGTTGTACCTGGCATGCTGCATAGGTATTTAGGATTTCAGTTTATTAGGAGGGGAGAGGGGTAGATGGTCTATAAACTCACAAAAGGTTATTTCAATAGGATGAGATCATGCAGCACAGCTCATCTTAGTGAGAAAGTGGGTGGCTCTGAAAAGAGCCTTTGGCTTGGATGGGAGATTTCAGTTGCTCTAAAGTAATGCTGGTTTAATTTACTTGCCCTTGGCCTTGTGGTGGCTCTCGGTTTTCTTGGGTAGCAGCACAGCCTGGATGTTAGGCAGGACTCCTCCCTGGGCGATGGTAACCTTGCCAAGCAGCTTGTTGAGTTCCTCGTCGTTGCGGATGGCTAGCTGCAAGTGGCGAGGGATGATACGAGTCTTCTTGTTGTCGCGGGCTGCATTGCCGGCCAACTCCAGGATTTCGGCTGTCAGGTACTCCAAAACCGCCGCCAGGTACACTGGAGCGCCAGCGCCCACGCGCTCAGAGTAGTTCCCCTTGCGGAGCAGGCGATGCACACGGCCCACTGGAAACTGGAGCCCTGCCCGAGAAGAGCGAGTCTTGGCCTTAGCGCGAGCCTTGCCGCCCTGCTTACCACGCCCAGACATGGTTCTGTTACAGTAAACAGCAAAGTTAAGATGCGAGCTTCAAACCCTAGAGCTACGGTATTTATAGCCATTGCTAGGCGCAAAAATGAAGCTTTGCCATTGGTTAACAATCATACATAGGCGTAAGCCAATGAAATCGTGGTTTCTAAATACACTTAGTTTGATTGGACAAAGTTAACGTATGACCTATACAGGAGGCTAGAAGACACAACCTCACTTTCGTTCTTGTTTCTCTCTGGCACTTTCGCAGTTTAGTGTCGACCATGCCTGAACCCGCCAAATCAGCTACAGCTCCGAAGAAGGGTTCCAAGAAGGCAGTTGCCAAGGTGCAGAAAAAAGATGGCAAGAAGCGCAAGCGCAGCCGCAAGGAGAGTTACTCAGTTTACGTGTATAAGGTGCTGAAGCAGGTCCACCCCGACACCGGCATCTCGTCCAAGGCCATGGGCATTATGAATTCCTTCGTGAACGACATCTTCGAACGCATAGCGGGCGAGGCGTCTCGCCTGGCGCATTACAACAAGCGCTCGACCATCACGTCCCGGGAGATCCAGACAGCCGTGCGCCTGCTTCTGCCGGGGGAGCTGGCCAAGCACGCCGTGTCCGAGGGTACCAAGGCCGTCACTAAGTACACCAGCTCTTAAGTGAGCAACCGCTCCGACACCATTCATACCCTAACGGCTCTTCTCAGAGCCACTCAATCTTCCAAAGAACTGGCACTCACCTTTTTCTTAATTCTCGGTAAGTGCTTGATATCTGCTACAAAGAAACTGCCCAGTTTTTAAATTTACATCTTGTTAAAAAATGACTGCGTTGTATGTCATTATACTGTAGCAACGCTTGAAAACATTTTGTATAGCATTATGTCAAGAATCACGCTTCATTTAGACTGTAGGATAAACACCGGGCTTAACCACAAGGTTGGCGGTTCAAACCTACGTGCCGCTTCTCTGAAGCCTAGTATGGGGTGTCACTTTGAGTCTTGACTGACTCGATGGCACTGAAAACAAATTGAAGTGCTCCTGACTGCAAAGTCAGCGTTAAAGCCCGCCAACTAATCCTCTAGTGAACAATGAGGCCAGTCCCATCAAGATTTAGTCTTGGAAACCCTAAGGAGCAGTTCTGTGCCCTATAGGGTCTTTGAGTTGTAAATTACTCTATGGCAGTTAGAAGCTTTAGTTGAGCAAGCGGTTTAGTAACTTGATTGCTAATTGAGAGGTTAACACTGATGTGAGAGAAAGACTTGATTCTGTTCCTAGAAGGTCGCGTGAGGCCACAAATAGTCGGGATCGACTTGACTGGATCCAGTAACAAAATCAATTTAGTTTTGGGTTGATGCTGGCTCTCCTTGCAGAGTTCGGATTTGTGTAATTTTAAATCAAAGGAAAGGAAGTTTGAACCGGATTCCAATACTCACAAGTCTTCAATGGTGTGTTCGTGTCCACAGCCAATCCCGAAGCTGCGCGGGCAGTTTGAATTTGTCAATCGGTTTCCTTTTTTTGAGTCTTCTGATTGGGGGATGCACTAAGGATTCCGGGTAGTACGGGATAGTGGGAGGAATTGTGACATTTTGCCCGCTTACATGAATCTTGTGAAATTTTTCCTCAGGAATGGAATTTGTTTCTACTCTCTGGTGTGGTTAATACGCAGGACTGCTAAATCAGTTTGATCTGCAAGGTTTGGAACTTCAAGCTCACCGGCCGCTCCTCGGGAAACCTTGTAGAGTCGCTATCGGTCGGAACTGAATCTAAGGCACTTAACAACAACCTACCCTTAACCTGCTTTCAAAGGAGCCGGAGTAGCAATAGTGGATGGATTATGAGCTATGCTGCTAACAGCAAAGTCAGCAGTTTGAATCCTAGTCGTTCTGCGGGAAAAAGATGAGGCTTCTGTGAAGATTTACAGCCTCGGAAATCCTATTCTGGGTTGCTATGAGTCGAAATTGACTCGATGGGACACAACCAACACCACCTTCATTCAAAAAAGGTTTCCACCTTCCGGGAAGTTTTTCTCCATTATTTGGGAAAGCATTATTATTATTTTTTAAAGACCACTTTGCTGGTAGGATTTATTCTTCGCTGTTGCCTTTTCTCTTTCTCTAGCAAATGGAAGAATTTTCCAAAGAAAATGAGAAAGCAGGGGAAGGACTGTTTCCCACCTTCCTACCAACCCCCCAACTCAGAAAATCAAAATCCATCTCAATTTTAAACCTTAAGAATACCATATTTAAACTATTTTTGCCTTTGCCAGGGATTAACCTGAGGATGTGTTCACACTGAATTATATTTGATGTAGATTTTTTAAAATATCCGTAATTCAGTGAGGGTATTCCAGTGACCCAATGATTTCATTCCTAAGTGTTTACATGACAGAATATTATGTGCACATGCAAAAGGAGATATTCAAGTATGAAACAGTGTTGTTTCATTAGGAAAATACGGAAACAACCACAGGTTTTGTTGTCAAAAGAATAAATTAAGTTTTTGAAGTGTTTCACACAATGCAATATCATACAGCAGAGAAAATAATTGAACTGCCATGGTAAAGATCAAAAGTGAAACCAAATGGTCTATTAGTTAAGCATTTGTAGAAGCATGTACGGGAGTCTTGGTGTGTTGCTATGTGATAATACACTGGACTGCAAGGTTGGTGGTTCAAATTCACCAGCTGCTCCTTGGAAATCCTATACAGACTCAATAACACTTAATGTGTGTATAATTATAAAAATGCATTTTTTAAAGGTACAAATTATAAATCCTTTTTTTAGATCAAGATAATGGCTACCTCAGTGGTAAAGGCAGGGTTAGGGGATGAGGGAAAACCACCAAGGCAAATAAAAATATTGTTGGCAACATTCTAGTTTCAGGGTTAGAAGTGGAATCCTGGAAATTTGATATAACCTGCTTTATAATCTAAATATATGCTATATTTGTTCCTTTTGAAGTCCTGGTGTGGTGTTGTGGGTTAATGCACCAGACTGTAAAGCCATTTGAACTGCAAAGTCGGTGGTTCAAACTTACCAGCTACTCCTTGGAAACCTTATACAGGGTTGCTATGGGTAGGAACCGACTAGACGGCACTTAACAACAACGTATTCCTTTTATATACCAAACGTTGTACTGAAAATAGTTATATATATAGAAAAAGTCCTTTTATAAAATAAATTATAAGAATCATTTACTTTGTCATAAAGGAAAACTTAACAAATAAGAACCCCACGTCTAATATTGTTTCTCTCCTGGTATGGTGTAGCCATGGGCTAATGCGCTGAACTGCAAAGTTGGTTTGAACCACAAGGTTGGTGGTTCAAACTCACCAGCTGCTCCTTGGAAACCCTACATAGGGTTGCTATGGGTCAGAACCGACTCAACAGCACTTAACAACAAACAACAAGTGCTGTTAATTTTTTTAGAGAGATCATGGTGGTAGTTGTGTGCCATGGGGTCGCTTCCTTGTTGGAGTAGAAAGCTTCAGCTTTCTCCCATGGAGCAGTTGGTGCATTCAAACTGCTGACCTTTTGGTTTACAGCCCAATGTGTAACCCAATACGCCACCGGAGCTCCTTTTTTAAAGAGGAGGAGAAAAAGAAGACTTTCAGAGGCCATTAAAAGACCTTACAATCAAAAGATCAAGGTTTTGGCTAAAATTAAGAGTCAGCGCCCAATCTCCAAAAATCCCTGCGCTTATATCAATACACTAACTTCCCTAGACCAAGAAACCTGATTCTCAGCAAGATTAACTGATCATAGGTGGATGGATTTACTTCCGGATTCTCAATTCTGTTCTATTGATCTATGTGCCTTTCATTGCACCAGTAGGAGGCTGCTTTGACTACTGTGGCTGTGTAGTAGATTTTGAGATAGGGAAGGGAGAGACCTCCTATTTGTTCTCCTTTTTGAGTAATGTTTTGCTTATCTGAGGTCTCTCTCCTTTCCATATAAAGTTAGTGATTAGTTTTTCCATCACTTTAAAGAATGATGTTGGAATTTGTATTGGGAGTGTACTATATCTATAGATTGCCTTGGGTTGTGTTAACATTTTACAATGTTGTTTTCCTATCCATGAGCATGGTATAGTCAGTCATCCATTTTGTAGGTCTCTTGGTTTCTTATAGTAGTATTTTGTAGTTTTCTTTGTGTAGGTCTTTTGTTTCTCTGGTTAGGTTTATTCCTAAGTATTTCATCTTTTGAGTAGCTATTGTAAATGGTATTGCTTTCCTAATTTAATTTTCAGAGCTCTTATTATTAATGTAAAGGAATCCAACTGATTTTTGTATGCTGATCTTGTACCCTGCCACTTTACAGAATCTTTCAATGAGTTACAATAATTTTCCTGCCTAGTCTTTGGGGTTTTCTGTGTATAGAATCACATCATCTGCAAATAAGAGTTTTACTTCTTTGTTAATTTGGATGCTTTTAATTTCCCTTTCTTGATTTATAGCTCTGATTAAGACTTCCAGCACAATATTGAATGTTGTTGTTGCCGTCGAGTTGATTCCTACCCATAGTGCCCCTGCATAGGGTTTCCAAGGAACAGCTGGTGCTTGAAATACCGCCGTTGCAGTTCAAACGACTTTGCAGTCTGACACATTAGCCCACAGCGCCACACCAGGACTCCACAATATTGAATGTTGTTGTTAAGTGCCTTCGAGGCGGTTCCGACCCATAGCGACCCTGTACAGGGTTTCCGAGGCTGTAAATCTTTACGGGAGCAGAAAGCCTCATCTTTCTCCCGCGGAACGGCTGGTAGTTTTGAACGGCTGGCCTCAAGGTTCGCAGCCCGATTCGTAACCACTACGCTACCAGAGCTCCTTACAATATTGAATAGGAATGGCGATAAAGAGCAGCTTTGTCTGTTTCCTGTACACTAGGGGAATGCTTTCAGTTTCATATTTTCCTCACCATTTTTCTCTTCTTTGTCACTGGCTAGTTTGCCTTTGATCATGTTGGTCTACCAGGACCATTCTCTACAGCTTCACTTTAGCCTTTGTCACTCTATATGTAGCAATATCCTTTTCACATTTCTACTTTAGCTTGGCCACTTTTTGCTCATATGGTTGTTTATCTTTGGCTAATTGTTGAGACCACATTTAAGCCAATTTTTTTTTTGCAGTATCTCCAATGGACAGTCCGGGTGCTCACTTTTGATCTTCCAGCGGCATTCAGACCAAAACAGGTAAGAGGCAGATGATGACCTCTTAGGGGCATTGGGATCTTTTTTCTTTCCTTTCCTATCACCTTTGGAAGGCAAGTAATTTTTCATCGCCCTGTCATAACGAGCTTTTTCACTTTTTGCCGTATCTTCCAACTTCGAGTTTTCCTTTGCAGACATAGTCTTCCATCTTTCGGAGCACTTCTTAGAGACCTTGGGGAAGGAGATGGAAGGGTCAGGCGTTTATTCCTGTGCTCTTCCCCACAGAGACACTTCCTTCCAAGGGCTCCGTTGTGAACTAGTTTCTCCTAACCTGTATTATTTATTTTCTTCTGGTGGCTGTAGGCTTGCTTTTGTTGTTGTTATGTGCCGTGGAGTCGGTTCCGACTCCTAGCGATCCTGTACAGGGTTTCCGAGGCGGTAAATCTTTCTGGGAGCCGAAAGCCTCATCTTTCCCCCCAGCGAAACATCTGGTAGTTTCGAACTGCTGACCTTGCGGTTCGCAGGCCGATTTGTAACCAGTACGCTCCCAGAGCTCCTTGTTTTCTCTTGGAAATGTTGGGTTAAAGTGTTGATATTGGTTCTTTCTTCTTTTATTTATTTATTGCTGTAAATTGCCTTATGATCACTGCTTTTGCTGTGACCCAAAGGTTTTGGTACTTTGTGTTTTTATTCTTGTTTGATGCAAGGAATTTTCTTTTTCATTTTTAATTTATTCTATTACCCAGTGGCTTTTAAACAAGGTGTTTTCCATGTATTTGACTTTTCCCCCTTGATCATCCTTTTGTTGACTTTTAATTTTGTAATGTTTTGTTCTGAAAAGATGCTTTGTAGTATTTGATGTTCTAAAATTTATTTAAGTTTACTTTGTGATCTAACATAGTCTATTCTAGCAAATGTTCACTATGCAGTAAAAAAGAATGTATACTGTGTAGTTGGGATGAGTGCTCTGTATATATTTATGAAATCAAGTTGATTGATTGTTTTTAGTTCTTCTGTGTCTTGAGTTTTCTAGTTACTTTGTCCGTCACTGAATGTGTGTATTAAAATCCCCTACTCTATTGTTGTTGAGTTGTGTATTTCTTTCTTCAGTTCTATTAGAGTTTGATTTATGTATTTCAAGTTCTTTTATTGGGGGCATAGATATTTATTATGGTTATGTCCTCTTGTTCAATTGACCCTTTAATCCTGAGATAATGTCCTTCTTTGTCTCTTATGCTATTTTCTGCCTTACGTTTGTTTTATCAGAGATTAATATCACTATTTTTGCTAGTTTTAAATTTTTCTGTTGTTGTTGTTGTTATGTGCCGTGGAGTTGGTTCCGACTCATAGCGACCCTGTACAGGGTTTCTGAGACTGTAAATCTTTACGGGAGCAGAAAGCCTCATCTTTCTCCCTTGGAACAGCTGGTAGTTTAGAACAGCCGACCGTGAGGTTCGCAGCCCGATTCATAACCACTATGCTACCAGAGCTATATTTTTTTCCATCCTTTGATTTTCAGTTGATCTTAGTCTTTGCGTGTAAGGTTTGGCTCTTGTAGACAGTATATTGTTCTTATCCATTCTATTACGTTCTCTCTCTTTTTTAGAACCAAATCCTTTTCAAACCTATAGTCATTTTCAGCCTTAATGGACTTCTGGTGTGGCATTGCTGGATCGGCACTGAACTGCGAACCACAAGCTCATTAGTTGAAACCCACCAGCTGCTCCTCAGAAACCCTATACATTGTCACCGTGAGTTGGGACCAATCCAAGGCACTGAACAACAACAATTGGTATTATGTTCACAGTAGAGATATGAACATATGTATACAGAAACACACACACATGAACATTGATTGGCACAGAGCACATACTTACACCCAAAGCTTGTTGCTGTTATTAAATGCTGTCAAGTTGGTTCTGACTCATATCAACCCTGTAGAGGGTCTCTGAAGAGTGGTTGGTCAGTTTGAACTGCCAACCTTGTGATTCAAACTGACCTTGGGGTCTAGTGCTTTCTACAGTGCCCACCAGCGCTCCACTCTGAGCTTACATCTGTCCAAATTAGATAACATTTAGATGCATGTGTGTTCACGGACTAAATGTGAAGAATTTTATTTAATTTCTTGCTCCATGGAAGACTCTGTCATTATAATAGAACTGAAGGGAGAAGAAGCCATGACATTTAAAATGGCACCCTAGAAAATGTACTAAATCATAAATGAGTTGGTTGCCGCTCTTCATTTCAGCATTCATTTTGCATGTTTTAAACTTTTCTTGTAAGCTCCTAATAATATTAACTGTTAATTTTTAAAAACTTATGAATTGAGTGAAGGTTTAGAGAGCAGATACTGTTTTACATTTGGCAAATCATGTACTTTGTGTCATTACGATGATTGCAATTTCTTCCACATACCATCAGCTAATAGTATTTACCTCCAGTCACTTTAATTATTGCATTCTTCCTTGAGTCTCCCGCTACCTTCATCTTTCCTCTGCTGACATCTCTCACTGTATATTACCTGCCCTGTCACCATGTTAACACATGTTTACCCTTTAGCCCATGAATAATTTCCCTACCCACCCCTGTAACTACCATAGATTGTTCTTTAATTAAGAAAATCTTTTAATTTTTTCCAGCTTTGGTCTCAACAATACTTGTCCTTTTGTGATTGACCAATTTTACTCAGCATAATGCCCTCCAAGTTTATTCATGTTGTGAGGTGTTTCACAGATTTATCAGTATTCTTCAACACTGCATAGTATTCCATTATATGTATGTACCAAGTTTGTTTAATCATTCTTCTGTTGGTGAACATTTAGGCTGTCTCCATCTTTTTGATGTGTCTCTTGTAGACCACATATTGAAGGATCCTGTTTTCTTATCCATTCTGCTCTGTCTCTTGACTGGTGCAGTTAATCCATTGACATTCAGTGTAATTATTAATAGGTATGAATTGATTGCTGTCATTTTTTTGTGCGTTTTTTTGTGGTGTTACTGGTTTCTTTCCATGTAATTTTCTATACTGAGTTCATTTTGTTTGTGGATTTTCTTTTCATTTTCTTGATTTCTATTGTGGTAATGGTTACAAAAACTTTGTAATTTCCCCCTTTAAAATTTTGATGTAAAGATATATTAGTTTTCTTTGAGGTTACCCTTTAATGTGTTAAATTTTTTTCTACATTAAAAAATCTATTTTATCTCTAAATTGACTTGACTTCCTCTCTATTGGAAGTTCTGCATCTATACTATTCCTTTTATGGCTTTGTATTGTCTTCGTTATAATTCATATCTCTGTTCCCTACTTGCATTCTTGCAGGTTTGTTTTACTTTGGATACTTCTATATTGGATTGAGTTCTGGGTGCAGTTATCATGTATGTTAATCTCAGGCTGTTGTCTGCTGTTGTTGGTTCTCAGTCCAAAGAATACCATTTAGTGTTTTTTGTAAAGTTGATCATCTACTTATTATAGCGTCCCTTAATTTCTGTTTATCCAAAAATGTCCTAATTTTCCCATTGTATTTGAGGGGCAGTTTTTCTGGGTATATGATTATTGGTTGGCAATTT